CCCTAAACGCCTAGAAAAGGCTACACACGGCTGACTGCAGCATTTCGTGCATTATTCGTGCATGTATTTGGTTATGTACGTGTCCTGTTAGGCTCTGGTTTAGGTGGAGGCAACCGTTCCCCTGTCGGCTACATGTGCTACATATTTGTAGTGTTCGTCGCGCTGTGTCTCTCAGAAAATGCAGATCCTGCATGCACGAGTGCCATCCATGGTCACAGCCAACAACCAACACCTCACCGATCTACTCAACCGATGCTAGTCGTTGAATAGCTGCTTTTTGCGGTGATAGCTAGTGTTTCTAGGGTTTTTAGGGTCCTTGAAACCCTAAACGCCTAGAAAAGGCTACACACGGCTGACTGCAGCATTTCGTGCATTACGAGTACGTGTCCAACGGCAGGGACCAGCAACAGGCACAAGCAAGGGATGAATAATTCCATGCTGCCGCCTTCGTGTTGCTGCTGTGCTGTCCCGGCATGCATGTTCTGGCTAGCTACGACCAAATACCCCATGTACACATGCACCAACGTGTACACGTACACACACATACATACACGCACACGTACACACCAGGATGGATCATGTTATGAAAAAGCCAGAGCGGATATGTCCCGCGCAAGAGCGATGTGCTGCTCATGTCGAGTTTTGATCTCGAGACCTCCCGCTTACTAAACGGGTGCTCTTCCACTGAGCTACACGAGCGGTTGTGGGTGGAGGGTGTGGAACCCTCGACCTTAGGATAGTCCAAGTCACAGCACGATAACAGCTATGAGACCTACGCGCTAACCACTGCGCCACACCCACACAGACATGCAGCTTCGCGCGTGCCAAGAATTTGCCGTACACCGTACACCGTACACGTACAAATCGTACAGGACGTGCGTACACACGCACCCCCGACGATTGGGCCAAATACGTATACACCACATCTACAGCCAACGCATGCCCGCCTCATTAGCTCTTTATTTTTCCCGGGCATGTGGCCAGGAAGTGTATATCTGTGTGACCATACATATCTGTGTGACCATACACATCTGTGTGACCATGCATATCTGTGTGACCATACATACCTGCTTGCCGATAGCGCGACGTGACGCGCAATCTGTGGTGGTGTAAGGGGACTTCAACAAGTATGAATGTAAATGCCTGGCTGATTATAATCACTCGCCTGGCTGATTCCTTGTGGCTTGTGGCTTTTGGGTGGTGGGTGCTATCCTTACGCAGCCTTGGCTTGAACGAAAGCACATGTACAATAGGGATGCAGCACAATGATTCTGATGGCAACGTTTCGCTGGCTGCTGATGCAGCAGCCGCTAGCATGGCCACGACAACAATGAACTGGGGGCTGGTCCAGGCATGTGCAGCGGCGGCAGCACTGGTGGCAATAAAATTCACCCCTGTTAGGCCCGGATGTCGGCACCCACTTGCATCTCACTGGCCACTAGTCGGTCGCTTCACGTTGCACCTGGCAGCAGTCTTGGATATTGGCACGTCAATGCGGTTGTGATTGGCTGCTTGCTGCGTGCATGTATTTGGTTATGTACGTGTCCTGTTAGGCTCTGGTTTAGGTGGAGGCAACTGTTCCCCTGTCGGCTACATGTGCTACATATTTGTAGTGTTCGTCGCGCTGTGTCTCTCAGAAAATGCAGATCCTGCATGCACGAGTGCCATCCATGGTCACAGCCAACAACCAAAACCTCACCGATCTACTCAACCGATGCTAGTCGTTGAATAGCTGCTTTTTGCGGTGATAGCTAGTGTTTCTAGGGTTTTTAGGGTCCTTGAAACCCTAAACGCCTAGAAAAGGCTACACACGGCTGACTGCAGCATTTCGTGCATTATTCGTGCATGTATTTGGTTATGTACGTGTCCTGTTAGGCTCTGGTTTAGGTGGAGGCAACCGTTCCCCTGTCGGCTACATGTGCTACATATTTGTAGTGTTCGTCGCGCTGTGTCTCTCAGAAAATGCAGATCCTGCATGCACGAGTGCCATCCATGGTCACAGCCAACAACCAAAACCTCACCGATCTACTCAACCGATGCTAGTCGTTGAATAGCTGCTTTTTGCGGTGATAGCTAGTGTTTCTAGGGTTTTTAGGGTCCTTGAAACCCTAAACGCCTAGAAAAGGCTACACACGGCTGACTGCAGCATTTCGTGCATTACGAGTACGTGTCCAACGGCAGGGACCAGCAACAGGCACAAGCAAGGGATGAATAATTCCATGCTGCCGCCTTCGTGTTGCTGCTGTGCTGTCCCGGCATGCATGTTCTGGCTAGCTACGACCAAATACCCCATGTACACATGCACCAACGTGTACACGTACACACACATACATACACGCACACGTACACACCAGGATGGATCATGTTATGAAAAAGCCAGAGCGGATATGTCCCGCGCAAGAGCGATGTGCTGCTCATGTCGAGTTTTGATCTCGAGACCTCCCGCTTACTAAACGGGTGCTCTTCCACTGAGCTACACGAGCGGTTGTGGGTGGAGGGTGTGGAACCCTCGACCTTAGGATAGTCCAAGTCACAGCACGATAAGAGCTATGAGACCTACGCGCTAACCACTGCGCCACACCCACACAGACATGCAGCTTCGCGCGTGCCAAGAATTTGCCGTACACCGTACACCGTACACGTACAAATCGTACAGGACGTGCGTACACACGCACCCCCGACGATTGGGCCAAATACGTATACACCACATCTACAGCCAACGCATGCCCGCCTCATTAGCTCTTTATTTTTCCCGGGCATGTGGCCAGGAAGTGTATATCTGTGTGACCATACATATCTGTGTGACCATACACATCTGTGTGACCATGCATATCTGTGTGACCATACATACCTGCTTGCCGATAGCGCGACGTGACG